ATTACCTGCCTCTAATATGATATTTTGGTTCATCGTGTATTGACGGTCACACGTTCTCTTTTCCGGTGCAACTCAGTTGTGGCCGAATGAAGTCGACTGTGTCCTCTGCTTTCTCTATTAGCGTTCTGGCAAAATAATCTTACAAATACGCGTAGTAATAAAATGACCTACCTGTTAATTTTGTTTTTGACTTAGGCAAGTTGTCGAGTCTAAAGGAAATCAGTTTGAAGACTTATTCGGGAGTAGCGCCACGAGACTTCGTTGGCGCAGTACATTCGATTATAACAGAGAGGATCGACTGAGATTCTCGAAGAATAATTGAGACCCCAGGTTCATTTATGCTTTTTTTGTTAATTTTATTTATCAGATACTACTTATGCCCCGGCTCCGCGTCTGTTTGTTGGCACTGTACAAAAAGCACAAGGTCAGCTGAGAAAATATAGCGGTGAAGTGTCACCTGGCGGCCGTTTCGGGCAATAGGCGTCCGGCCGAGTACGCCGTGCATCACCTTCACTAGGGGATCACGTTTTTTTCGTATGCTCACGCCAGTCCTTTATCTCAAATTTGCTTACGGAACAGTTCCATATGCCGATGCAGCCGAGCGCCGCGTCAAATCTCCAGCCTGCAGAAGTCCGTCATCATCGTAAATCTACCAGTAAGATAAAGTAAGTTCACGTCCGTGCAGAATGCAACGAATAGTTTACCTATGATGAATCGTTCATTGTCTACAAATGAGGGTTAAGTGGCTGGCTCGTATAGTAAATAACGCTGACTTCAAAAAGATTACTGGAAGCGACAAATAAACGCTCAAGTCCATGGCACATGAATTTACTGTTAGAAGATATCGTCTCGTTAAGGAACCTTCATGACGATACTAAGTTCATAGACGATGTTTACTATAGCTGCGGCTGAGGTGGCGATCACACGTTTCTCTCGGTGACACCGTTCATCACGCCGATGGCGATCGCGCTAAGATCACGTTACCCACGACGCTTGCCGACAGATGGAAGCGGGTCCATATTACAGTCATAGTTGGACTGTGAATCAGTTCAGCTATAGCGGAACGTGCTATAAAACGGCCGGTCAGAAATGAGGTATCGTGGCCGAGACAGTCGAGATATAGCCTTACGGATAAAGTGTACATTGTAGCCCACACTCATTAGAATTGTAATGAAAGAAATTATCGCGTCTCTGCTCTTGCGCCTATGAAAACGGAAGTCAATCACTTTGATGAACAGTTTCATTGCGCTGAAAACCATTTAAGTGAGAATTTTATATATACTGGGTAGGTACCCGAACAGACCCAAATCAGGATCACTAGTGACTACTTTTGCACTGATATCTTCTCAGGAACACAAGATACCAACCAAATAATAGAGCGTTAATAGGTGTACGACTAACCTTTGAACAATTACCAGTGAAACAAGTCTTGCTGAAAAAAAGTGTTCAATTTCTTTAAAATATAAACAATATCGTTCATTCTTGTCTAGTGCTCTGATTTGAAAGATCAAGCGACTTTTTAGGTATTAATAATTAGTCACTGTGTAAATGACGAACGCCAAAGTCTCAGTCACTTCCGTTATATCATTCGCTATATTTGCTGTCACAGTATATTCCCATTCATTATTACTATTATATTAATGTTGAACATGCGAAACTTACAACAATTTAATAACACTTGTTGTTATTTTTTCACTAGACTGAATAAAGTGATAGAGAACATAGGTTTGCGAATAACAGTAAACTTACTTAAAGCTACTTAACGTTGTAATTTATCAACAATATTTCTCTAATTTTTATGCTCAGTATTATAACGATAGACGATAGAAAGGTTGTACAGAATACTTATTTAAAATAGCCTGACAACAAACCCACCTGGTCGATCTGGATCGCTACTTATAAGAGGTGACTGATCAGAAATCCGGGACGACACTCGTCTCTAAGCGCTTTGGATGCCCGAGAACTGCGTCACTGACGTTAACTGATGAAGCTTGTAAGCAACGATGCTTTCACATATCAACTTGATTATAGCCACTGAGTAATGAGGTTGTCCTGTGTGGTTTTATACATACAGGCATAAGAATCGGAGCTCCATTGTAAGCGTGGAACGGAGCAGTGTGGTAGCGGTGTGGAGTAACTTTCCTAAGAGCTTTCAGGTTGATTTCGGTTCTATTAATAAGCTGGCATTAAATTTGTTTGTTAAAGCGAAACGACACCCTGGATTCCAGCAGTTTGATTCAAGGCAGAACTATACGGCAGTCTGCGATCTTGGAAGGAATGGGCCTGAGGTCGAATCGATCACTGACGTGCTAATGGAGCCTAGCTAGTGGGCTACTGTCGCTATTCGCAGATACCACGAAGTTACCAGTACCATCTGGTCTCAATCAGTAACCATGTCAGTAATCATAATCCCCCTGTTTAGTCGACAAATACGAGGATATACATCCTAAAGACAGTTCAGTTATGAAGGCCGTAACGAAACACAAAATCGCGGTGACCAGCAGCGTAAATCTGCATGCGCGTGCCACACGATCTATGGAAATCAGACTGGCTTCAACTAGCAATCGTGGTTCGTCATATCTTTTTTTCTTTTCATCAGATCTGCTTAAGGTAATATTGTAAACAAAACAGATTCTTCAACCTCGTCCTGTCTATGTGGCCGAGTTTGAAGCCGTCTATTATTATAACTGTCGTTTTCCTAAATTACATTGTATAGGGGAAGCTGATGGAAAAGTCGATAGCTCGGAACGCCACAATATATTCTAGGGAAATCTAGTGCTCAACTTCGTGCCGAGCTCGTCTGCATAAACAAGAATAGCAATCAAACGTTTTAAATAAACACAAATGTCTCTTTGAAGACTTTACTAACCAACTGATGGATCTGTTAATAGAACACTGATGGTTTGGTAATGTTACACCTATTTGCGCCTAAGTTCGCCCCAAGAAAACACGCCATGATATTTCTATGATAATGCTATTTTCCGCACGCAAGTGGACAACACTCACCAGAATCGGCTTGTGAGCGTCTGGTTGGCTACTGCGCTTGGTGTGATTTTTATGGTTTTGCCGGAATTCCTGATAAACTCAGCGATGCGTGTGAGTTAAATCATGAACTCTCGCCGCCGCAGGGGGCATGTCCCACTGAAGTTCTTTCATTCGGACAGCTCGTTCTCGATAGTCTGTTTCGTTGGGTACAAAGCCGTCGAAAACTCATCATTGGCGAGACGTTCTCGCCTCTCTACGGGAAAATCCATTCAGGTGAGCATAGCTAAATGGCTCTCTAGTTAACTCCTATATCAATAATGAATAGATGTCAAATTGTTGTCTCCCTTTCTAACGAAGGAAACCAAGCTCGATTGGCTCGACAGTAAGCGGCCCCTCATCGCAGTATCCACACGTTTTCTCGGTCAGCTGCTATCAACGAAAGTGTCGAGTAAAAAGAAGGAAAAAGTGTAAAAAAGTAAATATCTGTTGCGAGTAGAAAAGTCTACTCAGTCTTAAAAACATTTCTCTGTTTTACTGCACTTCGTAGCAATGGCTAAATTTCCCGGTGTGGAAGCAAACGATCTTTGGGATAATGTGTGATTTCGGATCCGGTGGTATAGATCTTTCGGTGTGACAGCGTCGCGTGTTATACGATTTACTGCTAAAAAATAACTCTGTGTCAGAAAGATTTTTTCTTAATTATTAAAGCTTAACCATTCTTAGACTGTGAACGTAGGGAATATAACTGTACGTCGCTTAGCCTTGCTTCTAACGTGAGGGCTTTTTTCACTAGGCCATACTCGGCCCAACGTATATGCTCAAAGATTGCTTAAATGAATTCGTCTATATAATTTACAATAAAGTTGTGTACCCTCTAAGACATTGGCCGCAAAGCGTCTATCATTCTCTTGCATTTTGAACAATAGTTCAGTGTGCATGCTCCATCCGTTGAGTACGTTAACGGGCTTTCGGTTAACCCTGAACGGAGAAAGGTGCCACAGCTTTAGGGCTTTACAACGTCAACAGATGTTTCAACTTACTTCGCTTTTTTATCCAAGACAAGTTATCTACTGCGATGGGGAGGCAAGTATACGCAGTGACATCAAATATCGATCAGACATTGTCGTAACTGGCTGTTGTTCGCTGCGCACCTCTGTAAGCGTTCGCTGGGCTCTTTTTTTTTTCTACTTTTACGTAAAAGCAGACATGCAATCTCGCTTCTATATGTACATATATGGAAGCGAAATTGCATATGTCTTTTCTTTTGTTATATATACATATATATATATATATATAAGAGTTTCAGCAACATTGTAATGTGTATTGTATTATTGTTTATTGATGAGGTAGCCAGGCTTATAAGAGTATCAGTGATCCAGAAAGCACAAAAAAATAGTGACTAATTTATCAGGGATACGCAAAAGAGATATTGGCCAAGCAAGTAGAAAATCGATAACAACTAGCATGTAAACATAATAAAATACAGTATATTAGTACATCATAGAGGCTTGATCAACAGTTCGTTGATCGGCTCAGTTACTAATAACAATATTGTTACTTGTTCTCCGTGTCCAAGCAGAGGTACGTGCTCTTCTATCCGACAGATGTTCCATGTAGTGTTAGACTGCTATTCATACCAATGGCCCGGTATTATTGTATGTTTTTTGCTCAGTGGTGACAATAGACGCCCTATCACTATCAACTGAAACTCGCCAATCGTTAGCAGACCAGAAAACTCACTCAGGCCATTGTCATCGGCGTACCGCACCAATTGGCAGCTTAGCAACATGTGCTTAGACGATAGCGTGTGCCGCCTGCTTCCGAGCAATGCAGACAATAAATTGACGATGTTTACCAAGAGTCCATGGATTGGCCAGTAATCTAATACGCCCTTACCTATTGATAACCCTTTTTTAACAGCGCCCTCTTGTAACACCACCATAACGTGTGGTCAACAATCATCAAAAAACCGAGTCTTGAGCGCTTGAAACACAAACATACAGAGATTGCTTTGGTGTACGCGTCCGGCGTGACGACGAATCAACAAACAGCTTTAAAACGTTTCGCCATTTGATCAACGTCACTGATACAAAACTACAACAACAACAACAACGGTGACCTTGGCCTTGGTGACTTCTTATTTGAAGTTATGCCTCGTCTTCATTCGTTTTTTCTCTCATATTGACTTTTCGAAGAAAAAGCTACTGTTACTATTACTACTGCATTCGATAGCGCTTGAATAGATGCTACAATATGCCGCACAATCGATCGTCTTTTTTGTTTTCATTTTGTATTGCTACCTATTAAGTAATGTTAAACTTCAAACGGAAATCTCAGTTTTTCCCAAATCCCGTCGTTGGCTTCTTCGGCGAAAGAGAGAACGAAATATCATTAGTCTAGTAGGATGTTTGTGCTACTGAAACGGTGCTGAGAAATGGATGTTTAGACATTATTCGATCTTTTAAACAGGTGAATCAAAAACGTCTATTAGCATCGCAGCGATGCGAGCTGCCATCGCAGCTTCATTTTGCTTCGGGCCTCGCGCTCTGAGCGGGACTATTGTCCTGGTCACGCTCTCACTGTTCTTGACGATCCTGCCAACCGTCTTCGCGGGGCAACTTCGTGTACTGCGTTTCAGTTTTGCAAACGGCAGTCTATTGCCAACAGTAAGCGTAAATGCTCCACCCATGTGTCCAGATAATCATACGATGTGCTCATTCGAGGAGGTTCTCGAGCACCCCACAACTGTAAACGACTTGAACAAAAAAAAGGCGCTCACAACAAGGTGAGAACCTAGTGACTAACAGTTATTAGGAATGTGATAGCTGTATTTTGTGAAATTTTCTCTGTTATATAACGAGCATCAAACAGATGTATAATATGGTCACTGCATGTACTAGCTTGTGTCAATAATACTGCTCCGTTCCTACTATATATGATATGATTTCTGCGTAAACGGGACCATCAGTAGTATGTAGCTGTATTCGATATCTTCTAACTTTGAACTCAACTCTAGATACTTATTTTGAGAAGCCTTTTACCATTATTTGGCACTACGAGCCAATGTAAAGATAGTTTATCTGCCACAGACCTGCTCGAGGACAAAGGTATGTCCTTCGGTCAACTCAGAGCAGCGTTGAATTCAGCTCATGCTAATCTACCGATCTGTAAACATCACGTTTGTACACAATATAATGCTGACATGGTGCTCTGAGATGAAGGAATTCAGATTAAATTACGGAAACTCAATGGTAGTCGTTATGTCCATTGAGAAGATACATTAGATTTTTGCCTGTCATCATTGGCTGCCGCTGTACGAATTGCATTATTTCATAAGTCATACCCCTTAAATAGGTGTTCGCTCCCTTCATTGCGTATATCTTTTTGATCAACTTGTGCGGTCTGCGAACGACTTTGTTTATCTAATTGTCACCTATCCATTAGTTTGGCACAATAGTTCCCGCTTTTCCCAAATTCGTAATGAAAAAAACAATTGCATTCGCTCTGGGATCGTCCTATGTTCGCTAGCCGCCCCACCTTTCTGGGTCGGAGTTTTTTACGCCTTCACCCGTTTTCATGTATTGATTGATAGCTCGTAAGTAGACTAGAGATCCCAATGCAGTGTCGAGGCCATTTTGCCGTCGGCTCTCAGCGTCTACACGGATAGATCTTATGTATTAGCCCTGGATATCGATGATATGTTTTCATTTCCAAATGGAAAAAGACAACTCGATGAAACACAAATCACACGAATGTATGTTATAATATGATAGATGCTAGTAGATAAAATCTATAGATGAGTGAATAGGACACTTTTTTCCCTACCTCGAGTTCGACGTTCTATCGAACAGCGTCTTAAAGGTGATGGTTTTAATTATATGTAGCTATAACACATCATCAATTTGTGGTATTAAGACGATTTTCGTGGATATGTGCATCCAGGCACGATCGTATAAAAGAGAAATTCCTTAAACATGGAAATGGCACACAGATACGGCAAAAGCCCCCGAGGCAAACGATGTTGAAAACATAATAGCTCCTGAATCAATTTTCTCGATTGCGATATGGATAAGTGTTACGTAATTCCATCAAAAGCAAAACAATCTGTCTATATTGTTCGCTTATTAAATTAGGAGTACTGCTAGAGAAAACTATGTAGTTAAATTTGCATCTTTTGTTCGTATATATTTCTGCTTGTATCTCGTACGCTGCTCTTTCAAAAAGCGTACAAGTTGAACAATTAGCTAGCGTTCGTTACCGTTACATTTAGGAATCGAGTACCTAAACAAGCCTGCGTGTTTTCACCATGCGCACTGGTCTCCTAATAACATCACATATCGGATTGTAATCTAATTAATTGATTGATCTCAATCAGTACAAAATCTAGTAGGAGAGATGAGGCACTCCTAGGGGGCTCCTAAAACTCATCTAAATTTTAAAAAAAATGTCTACTCTCTTGTGTGTGGACCTGTGAAAATTGCGGAAAAGTTCTTTAGTAACATCAACTGGATTGAGTGCAGTTCTTCGAAAAAACATATGCAATGTGTGACTGTCGCCGTGAAAAAGCTTAATCACGCTCAACAAGCGATCTATGTGCTACCCAATTGGACATCATACATTTGGGGCATTTAGAACCCTTAGTGATTGCTGTTGTTGTTATTATTGGAATTTGCTGTTTTTTTTTTGCTATAGTCATCTGTCTTCTCTCTATTGATAGCGCTAGGGCTACTTGACATTAAAAATAACATCACTAACTCTGTGCAAACACCATTTTAGCCTCGCACGTCTAAGGTAAGTCGGTCCTTTTTTGCTTTTGTGTTCCTTTATTCTTTATCTAACCAACTTAGAAAGATCTATTGAGGCCAAGTCAATTTTTGCTTTTCCTGTAGTACACAAGTATGAAGTATCCCAGCAGGTTCATCGTGTAAGACAACAATGTCAGCAGCGGATCTCGACGTGTCCCATAACTGATCCATTCACTCTCGCTATCCTAGTTGCCACGCTGCTTCAAAGGTCTAGGTGAAGGCGTTACAGGCTCTACTAAGTCAAATTGGTATATGGCCTTGTATTTAGACGTATGCCCTTGTAATCGATCAAAAACAAGACTGATTTCCCCATACCATTATAGATCGTTGCTCCGTTGCTATTGTTGGATGAACGGTGGATGAATCTGGCGAAAAACTGGCGAGCTCGTAAAATCCGCTCACCGTCAAGAAATAAACTAGCCTTTTCCGGACAATACGTATAGTAGAACAAACCTATATAGCGAGGCGTATACAAGAGAGAAATTTTCTCTAGATGTAGTGTATTGCTTTCATCACTTACAGGGATCACCCAATACGACAAGAGCTCAACACTGGCTCAAACAATCTTTGCCTCTTTTAAGGCAACTTGCCCCTTCGAGGAGAAGACTAATTGCTCTGTACGACGCTGCTTCGGGGAGTTCAGTTGCATTCAGACCATTCAATCAGAATGGCAAACATTTAGATGCCTACCTATACGGTGAAACGACTCGAGGAGTGCGCAAATTTATAGTAGGCGCTTTAATAGTCGGAGCATTGAAGGACTTATCGCCATTCCACCGTTAAGTTCGCTAATCGGGTGCAAGTTCTGGGCTAGTCAAGAAGTTCTGGAGAGTAGGCCGTGCATAGCCCAAACGATTGAGTTGCCCTAAACATACCCGAGATGTCCGGGGGAGGGGGTCCTTATGTAGCTGGAGTAGTGACACGTACTTTTACCTTCAAATAACAGACAAGATTTTTCTAAGCTTTCGAAGCAATTTCTTGCGCCACTAAACATCAAAAATTACCCGCAATGGAGAATCCAGAAACGCTTTTTAGGCTAGTTATTCGCTTGCATAGGGGTCGCAGCTTAGATTCATTTTTGCCTGTGCTAAGGCCTCACAGAATTAAAATTACCGGGAAGAGTCCATTGTGCGCAGTGCGGTTGGGGTCAAATCAGTTATCATTTGAAGATAAATAATCGTCGTCGAAACATATAATTTTGAAACAATGCACCAATCATAGTCGCACCTTCAGCGTTCATTAATTCATAGGCTTATACGATATTTTTATGTCTTTTCAGATACATTGAATGATATGTACTTTCAACGTTTCTGGCTATTTTTATTGTGTGAACAAGTCTTTGGAATTACCCTTTCAATGTGGCATCATGGGCTTGCTCCTCGCTTTCCCACAAGATTTAGCCGGAATGGCTCTTTCCGTATCTACCTGGTGTTCTCTCAACAGAAGAGTAAAATGGTACAGCAACCATTGAATAACACCAACATTTAAGTCGGTGAAGGCTGCGTGTTCATGATGACGATGGCAGTGCACCCGCATAGAAAACATTAACCTATATGTACGTATTTGCTAAATACCTCAGAAAACAACTAGTTTATGCAAGTAATTAATAAACCTTTTTTCATGATATCAGGAGTACGATTATGAAACTTCTCGACATATTGGAGGGGGCGGCACAAGCGACTGGCTTGGTAAAAGGAAGTCTGTTCTACTCTGGAAATTCTGAAGGAACACCAGAGGTTACGGCGAAGCCCGGACTTCTGACACGCAGGAAACGTCAAGATAATAATGGCTCAATTCATGTAACAAGTAACGTCTGAGCTAGTTATTTTGGCCATTAGCTGTTATCTATAGGGGCATGGCTGCATGATCTATAGTGCCGCTATTTGGCTAACACAGGAATAGCCATCTAGTTGGGAGCAACTTGAATAAATATTTCTTTATTACGAACTTGAAATATTTCGTATTTAGCGTTAATTACAGCATCAATAAGGCGTGCTCCCTTGGTTTTCTCTATGAAAGTTGAATAGTTTCGGTTTAGTTTTTGACCGCCTTTTCGCCCCCGAGGAAAAGTGTGTCCAGAGATAGGGCATATTTTTACATGTATAGGCGTGCGAACAGATACAGTGGCTGCCTATGAGGGATCAAAAACCTTTGTGCTAACAACAAAGAGGCGTTTACATTTCAAAAGAAACACTACCTGATGCGGCATGTAAGTCGAAGGCTGGCATAAGAGATGATTGTAGGTTTTTTTTTGTTCCTAAAATCGTTCAAAGGTTTTCAAAATACATATAATTTTAACGGGATGATCTACCTTTTTACATGACTAATAACGTAGGGGGTTAAATGAACGGCTAATCTTTAGGTACGGCGAACGCCCTTCTAAATCATCTGACCTAACTCGTCTCGACTTTTCTTAAAGGAATGCTTGAAACGTACGATGGACTGAGATAATCTCGAGTACGAGAAGATAAACTCAAAAAAAATACCACATTCACTATAGAAATAGAGCTAATCATATGTTAAAAAGTGGTCAAAAACAGATAGAAGTGAATAACTGCCATAGAAGAAATCAAATGATCCCATCGTATTAATGTTACATTTATGTAACTCTTAAATATATAAATATGTTCGTAATAAAGTAAGATTTATGTAAAAACATTTAGCATTATTCTAAAGTTGCTCTTGATTAGATGACTGTTCCGGTATCAGTTTTAGCGGGTGGTCCTGAGGCAAAAGTTCGGTACAAGAGGAAGTTCAGCGGAATTGATTAAGGTTACCTATTTTATATGTCAGATATGCTTTATTGATAAGCGTATGGAAAGGTGTGGCCCTTTACGAGGCTTGTCCTTCACCGCCAATTACTCAGGTCACAGCCGAACACAATGCCCAATATGTAGAATTGTTTAACGAGACCGCTTTCCAGGTACTCGAATCAACAGTGCCTCTTTTTACAGAGTTAGGAGTTCTGTGCTAGCGGAGGAAGTAGTACTGACAATCATCAATACGATGTCGTTTAATGTTAACAATGCGGTCACTAGTTGTCACCAGCTTTGACAATGTCCCCCTTCTCTTCCGCCAACAGTCATAGCTTTCATATTATACAAACATTCATTTATATGAATACATTACTATATAGTATTAAATCCAGCTGTTGTTCTAGGTTGGATACCTAGCTACGTGGCTGTGGGCTGAAAGATAAAAGCAGTTCCTTAGAAAAATAGATTAAAACCATCAGAACAAGACCTAGCAGATCGTCGCTTACGACCCCGTAACCCGTGACTCACGGCAGATCGCCGCCCTACGTGTATGACGCTATTAACAAAACCTTTTCGTGTTTGGTGGAACCCTCTAACAACTAGTAATGATCCTACATTTTGCGAACATCGCTGAATAAATTTTAGACCCTACTCGTATATATATGTATATGTTCTTTGTTTAGAGAGCGTTTCAATTGTAATCATTTACACGAACTGTTTCCAAATAACAAAAAATGCCAGTGAAACTCACGCGATTCACGCGTAGAAATCATAGGGTCTGAAACTATGACCAGGTCAGAAAAAACGTTCGTCAGGCTGCTATCTCTTTTACAAGCAAACAAAAAAAACCAGCAGTTTTGTCGCCTGGGCTAATCAGAAAGGTTTTCTAAAAACATCGTCACGATTCAGCAAAACTTCCTTGCAATTTTGTGGGCTTTTGATGCCGGTGTTGCTGAAGAGAAGATAGCTTCAAGTTAAGGACTCAGCACCGATGGCAGAGTAGTTTTTTGAAAATTGTCGCAAAATTGAATGAAGCCCTCATTAGCTCTAACATAGAACACAATTAAACTTCAACAGTGACCAAGAAAACCTAGTCTACTTGAAAGCATTGTTGTATCAGAAATAAAACCTAACTATCCCTATGACGTGTACTACAGGGTAAATGGCTATACCTTGTTGACGATGAGAGTATTGCAGTTTATCAGTTACTGAGCCGTGTGTCGATTAAACGTGTGTAAATATGGAAAGTAACGTAAATCTACTTTCACATTACTCCATTGAGGCAGGCGCGTTTCCTGAAAAAAAAAAACCTAATATACTGGACTTTCGGCCCTTTCACAAGGGAACTGCAGTGTTTCTAACGCCAACAATTAATCGACACGTTTTTGTTTTTTACGCTATATTTTATTTGCATTTTCCCAATAAGAGGTATATATTGATAGAAAATAAATATAAAGTTAAAAAATACGTTGACAACATTAGTAGCTATTTGTTTTTACGTGCGCAGAAAGAATAGAGTCCTCTCACTATTTACCAGGTTGTCTCGCTAGAACAACTAGAATGAATAGCAATCGTACCTTTCACTTTGATTATTATATTATATAGATATGGGAAGATACAGCAGAATATACATTTACGACGCGATTATATTCATTGCCTTTGACTAATAATCAGTGTTATGATACGGTTCATTTGCAGCACCCTTTATGAATTTATGCCGCGAACAGGTGGTGACGAACGAGTACCCGGACATCGGCCGTAATGAACATGGTCGATGGCGTTATTTGTCGGGGAGACAGGTCGTACAGTATACGTACTGCATGTAAGCGTTGAGACACAGATGCTCAGGAAAGCATCTCTTTTACTAGAAAAGGGTGTTTTTTTTTTTTTGATAAATAGATACCGGCGTGTAGCGATGATTGTCTTTACGCTGCCGACCCGGCTGAATCGCTTTAACTACAATTGTTCCACCAACGGGCTTCTAATCGTGTGCGAAAAAAAAGAAAACCGTTCCTTATGTTATAAGTGGACTCAAATTAATACAACTAGGTTTTTGTCATTATTATAGCTCACTTTTTATAATCGTCTATTTACAAGCGTTCTTCCGTCATTGAGTCATGTAGAATCAGAATATAGCTAGTTTAGCGAAGAAGGTTCGCCTCCTATTTGGAGTAAATGATCTCCTGATATAGATTTCAATAGGATTCTAAATCAGATGAACCGTTTAACAAGGCGAAAGTTATGGGATAAGCTTATTTTGACAGAGGCTATAGTAAGCGAGATTGCTTACTGAATATTACCATGGCCAATCGTATGAATATCGTCCATTTCGACTTTATCGTAGGCGAAGGCGATGCCAGATTTTATACTTCAATCGAATAGGCTCGAATAGCAACTTTATTCTGAGTACCCTAATATTATCTTCTTACCTTCCCGAAGCCCGATACATGTTACCTGTTATTACATAGCATTCCGCTAAGCCAATGCAGGCGGACCGTCTGATAGGTGGTGTTGCATCGTGCGCTCGATCTGAATCAGAGGCTACCTAAGATGCAGCAAGTATGCTGATACCAAAATGCCCTAGCACCATAGGAATATTCAATGTCATTTTTTTGTATAATTGAAATAAAGGTATCTGGTGATAGTATTGATTGGCGAATTGCTTTGATAGTCAGTTTGGAGATTTCAAGAAGCTACTGAGAAGATCTCAAAAAAAGAACTTCGACGAGGGTTCCGTTCAGTATCGAACAGGCGCTATAGAGGCATGATATCCTCATATAAAAACCTATGCAGATCGTTCACGACCTATGCGCATCTCTGTGAGAAGTTTAGGGCAAGCGAAACTTATTTGCCAGCTGCTTTGAGGAAAAATTAAGCCATGTAAGTCATCATAGTTCGGAAGGCCGATACGTTTTGGGAAAGTTGAAACTTCGGCTATGCACGTCGACTCGTTACGCTATGGAGCCGCATATTCCATATTTTTCTCGTATACATATGGTTGTCAAACACGACAAAGTATCCTTGTGAAAAAAACAAAACACGATGTGCACTAGCTTCCAGCAAGACCTGAGTCCGTAAGGCCATTATATAGCTATGTAGAACTTGTTTCGTATAAACACCTTTTCCACACCTAATATGCTCAATCATTATAGGTTTTCTAATATGAAGAATTTCGCTGATATTTAGGGACGAGGGGAGGCCGTGCTCCGTTGACATAATGGATGATTCGCCTGGTGAACTGACACGCTGCGTGCAAAAGTTCGGTTTTTCGCCAATGGTAGTTTTCGATCAGCAGACACAGAAATTCGCTAGCGAACGCATCCTAGTACCCTGTGGTTGTCAGTGCCAGTATGGACGTGGGTGAGTCTCCCGCCTACCGATGGACACTCTCTGGGGCGTTATCCTAGGCTTTATCCTAAGTAGCTTCATCGTAGACGACCTTCATCACATCAACACTGTGTGCATAGATTGACGTGTTCTATGAAGATGGTTCTTTCTACTATTAAAAGAATAAAAACATGGATTAACGTCTATACTCGTTTAATACATAAGTTTTTTCTTAGAAGTTTATTAAGACTTTTCCCTCTATATATTACACATGCATATATGTTTCGCTAAGCTTGGCTTTTCAAGGTGTACTTTTTGCTGTTCCGGTGTTATTATCAGCTAGTGAAATAGAAGAGATAGGGTTCCTCATGGTCGTTCGCAGTCAAACGATCTCAAAACTTCTTCGTTTTATTCCATACGTCAAAAAGTAGCTGACGGAGCGAGCGCTTCCAGAAATCGACTGTGTGTTGGAAGATTTTGGGCGGTGATGAGATTCCGGTATCTCCCGGTAGCTAGCCCATGCGTCAGTATCAGTGACTCAGAACTTTAGAGCCATTATTAATGCCCTCCCACTCTTTGGCAAAAGTCATCCATTTTTACGCATTGTGGGTTCTATATGAACATAATAAGAAAACTTGGGCAACCGTTAGAGAGACACACATGATTTCGTCACGCGCAGGTAGCCGCCGGTCCAGATATAAGTAGAGAAACGTGACCTTATCTAAGAGGCGCTGATGTTAAGTATACAACTAAATTATTTATAATACCAATACCTTCATTGTTCCATATTATCGCCAAATATATACAGTCAAATTGAGCCTTCTGAGCTCATAAGTGCCGTACAATGTTCGTTATCTAAGGCAAAAATATTATTAAACATGACAGCTTAGTAATACTACCTGAATATGATGTTGGATTACCCAGCAGCTCGACCACGGATCCCGCTTTTCTGCGTACTCCAGACTTCTATGCGTTTCTTGGTCAGGTGCGTGCTCAAGCCCAGAAAAAAACTACCCACACGGAAAAGGTTGGAACTTTACTTCAAGTATTAAACTCTGGCAAGCATTTACATCGAGTGAGTGATATGTTCGTCGCACCCTTAGCTGACACTCGTTTTAGCCATTACATCATCGAAAACTCGATATTTTCCTATTATATTTTATGCAAATTTCTGAATAGAAACACATTAACTATTTCACAGATATTAGAGGGAACCAGCAGCAGATCAGCCAAGGCCTAGAAAACCCTCAAGCATAGTTTTAGTCCCATATCCAACCTATCATATCAGCAATTGAATAGGAAGCTACTTAATCGCATGGCTAACTAGGTAGAGCAAGATACTCAAAAACTTAGAAAAATTTGAATTCGCTCGCTTGAAATCGGATTTATCCATGCGAGCTTTTAGCTTTGCAGTTGCATTACACCAGACCACGGCATCACCAGTTTCTGAAAATCCAACAAATAACAAACGTGTAAAATGACAGGCCGTCTGCCATTTCCTGAATATCTAAGGTGCTCATTTCGTTTATGTGGAACCCTCATAGGCGTTAAATCAAGTATCGAAATGTACTATTGGAAGATACCACTAACTGTTCTACAGAATCTAGTTTGTATGTTATTTCCATGAATAACTCTACTAAGACTTCAAAAAGGCTGAGAAAGCGTGTAGATTCCCACATATCTTCAAACCAATAGGAGCGCCACTTATTGTTACTATGAGGATAATCCATCAGAGGAGAACGACACTGATGTTAACGTATCACATTCTGAAATGTTCAAAAAACATATCACACGTAAACGGTCGGTCGATGGGTGGGTCTTCGTTGACCTAGTCGGTGCTCTCTCTAACGGGAAGTCGCGGAAATTCGAACGATCTGCTAGCCGAATGATAAAGTGGTAGGTTATGGGACGATGACACTGATTCCAGCAGTGAAAGAATAACTCCGCGACGCAAAAGTCAAGGCCGCCGAGGTTCTTCTCTCACTCCCAAGGTCGCCCTCTCCACACGTGTTCCCATGACCGAAACACACGCGCACACACAGTCCCTTTTGCCCATTCCCGGTAGCCCTCTCCCAACGGGTTGAGGAATAGTGCTTAAATAAGCGTACCACATTGGGACAGTTGACGCCTAACAAACACAGCTTCAGTTAGCCTCGACGCCGACAGCGCGATTGGACAAAAACGACGTTGAAACTCAAGGGCCCATAGATAGGACAGTGTTAGATTTCTGGGAGCGAAGCGTCAACTTGCGGCTCCGCAGCGTATAGTAGCTGACAAAAGCCAAGCAGGATTTCGCAGGGTAACGACGAGTGCGATGACGCTGTGTGCCAAGTGCTAAAGTGGTCGTGAGTTGGAAATTGCAACAAAAAAACAAGAAACGAACAGTAATACTGTGTATAGCACGAACAATCGGAAAAATAGGACTCAACAAAAACGAAGCGGTTCTGTTACTGTGTGCCTTCACCGTGGTGGACTCGACTCGAGCTCAGTCTCGAGGCGAGACCCAGCCATCTGTCGAAGTGCATAAGAGTGGGGCGTTAGAACGGCGGCGTACAGCCGTCGAACTGAACATTTCCTCGCAAACCGAAGCCGGTGCTGCGGCGCCAAGAAAGGCTAGTTTGCCAGCGATATTTCGGTAAGTCCTGTCATTGATTGTAGATAATTTCAGTTTAAAATATACCACCATTTTAAGTGTATGAAGAGGACTGCGCCAAGTCATTTACTCTTAATTACCTCAATTGTGGACGAAAATGCCGATTTTTGGAACATAAGGTACTAAAAGCAGTATCACATACGTAGAACGAAGTTTAGAAATTCCCCCTACACTCCATAGATATTTCATTAGATATCTATGGAGTGTACAAATAATTTATAGCGACCACAAGCTGATAAGCTTACTAACCAGGAGTCCGCTGATCGATTTTCATTTCTACGGTACCCACAGGTGGGTGCGTATTACAGATCGTTTAAAGACACCTAAATGCTATGTTTTCAGTGAGTAGACTAAAAAACGATATCCGTCATAGGGAGATTATATACAGTGCACCGGCTATCGTATTCTCCAAGTTGAAGTAATATTAAATGATCTACGCTTTTTTCCTTTCAGTATTTCAAAGTTGCTCGACAATGTAATTATCTGTTTCGGATACACAATAACTTCATGCGATCGTCGGCTCTAGATGCCAACCCTAAAATTTGATGTTTTCTGTTTCAATAACTTATTCTACATTTTTTTTCCTAGCTAATCCTTTTATTAACTTTTTGGCGAAAAATCTAGACAACAATATCAGAAGCCAGCCTGATAGTTTACCGTATTACGGTAGAATTTGTATACACACATATATATCCCAGGAAGTAAGTCTAGTTCATGAGGACTCTACATTGTGGCATCATAAAACCGCCAAAACCGATAGCATGAGTCCTGGCGACGATTCATGTTACACTTTCGTACACATTGTCTTTTCTTGAGCTATGTCGATTATTCTTGTGTCCTATTCAACTAGCAAAAGCGTATTTTATAGGCCGTCCTTAAGCAAGCTTTTATATACATACACCTAGGATGGTTTAGCGGAGAAGTATTAGACACAGACACAACAACAAGGTATAAGATCTCCATATTGTTCTAAAATATTGTTAACATATGAAACGTCTATAGGCTTTGATACAATCGCCTTGGATTTGTGCTCCAGCGTATTACAGAAACAGCGATTTTGTCCCCTATAACTGTACCCTATAGTAACGTTCGCTGTAATCGAATATAAACATTCGTTAAATTACTACTCAGAGCAGTAGGCACCGCTAGACAAACATCTCAGGGCTGATCATAGGCTAATAATAATATTAGCAAACTACAAAAACTGGGACCACTTGTCAGGTTTACGTTGGGGCGAAATATAGTGGACCAGTCAGGTGCGACCTGATTTCGCCGCTGTCAAAATTTAACACGACTAGCCCCTATATGCTTACCTAGCCACGTCTATAAACAGCTTATGGAGACATTTATATATTTTTTCGCAAGCGTGCCCAATTATCAGTCAAGGACACGTTAATATTATCCAATTGCGCCCTTTGTTTTACCTATATGTATAGTAAAGGTATGACGCATGCTCTTCAATAAACGAAATCTTCAATGAGCTAACAGCTACGCAATAGAAAACTGTTTTTCTGTGTAGTGAACTGACTTGGCGTTGAAAAACTCGACACACTCGTTCATGCCTACACGAGCATTTAGAATGGGTGCGTCAACTGAGTGAAAGCACAGCTTACCTGAAATGTCAGAATTTTTTATGCGTCCTACCATCTGTCCCAATGATATGATACTTACTCTGAGTTCACGATTGAGGAGTGGCCATAAGGCAACAATGGTTAATATAAATACAGGTGAATGGTCTACAGACTGGATTTTTCTACAACGAGTCAAATGTGGCATTCATTTTCTTCAGAAGTCACCATGTGCACGTGACTCGTACGGAAAAGCGTACAATCCGTCAAAAATTTCCTGTCGTGACCCGCCGTACCGAGTTGCTTGATAGAAGAACTCTGCCTCATTTCGATATCTATGCATCGGAGTAACTTATATAGTTCCAGGATCTGTATAAATAACTAAAGCATCGAAAATAAAAAAGGATAATGACACGTCCCTATCGGGAACGTGCAGGGCAGCCGTAAGCAAACCCAGTTTATTATCTATTCTTCAAGTTTTCTTTTTTTTTTTTTCGAAAGAAAACAGTATGTTTCTACTTTGCTTGCCCCCGGAAAGGAGGTGCATTTGTCCAACTCCTCATTCAGTTCTGTTTTTCGGATTTACCAGCAAAAAAAAACCGCAGCGTGCGTTCTTCAGTACATTTTACGTATTTCACGCGTCACATTCGACTCCCCTGAACAAGTAAACGAGTGAGTTTGAATCATAAAGCCTTACCGTGTGAGTCAACGATGGTATTTTGGGACCTACATAGTTTCTGTACAAGTCACGTTAGTGAACGGCCTGAGTAAAAACTCGACAGATACTGTTTGTCCGTACCTTTGCATTTAAAAAAATGTAGTTGCTACAAGAAGCCTACAACTTGTAGTAGGAAGGCGTATTCTGAAATGGCAGCAAGGGATCACGTGCGACACCATCCGTGTTTTGTGAATTATGAACAATTCAACTCGCAGTCTTGACAATAAGCTGTTTTGGCAAGTTCTCATGGGGCAGCAAAAGTAAAGACTTCGTACTCTTTCTAAGCAGCTTAGCATAACTATTACCGATAATGATATTGAAATAGTTGTTTAATACTGCTTTAATCACAAACCGTTCCAGAAATTTTACCTGCATTGAAACGCATCCTGCTGTGGTATCGTAGAATCACAATTTCATATTATATATAATTTATTTAGAATAAAGAGGACTTTATTTCGCTTTCATGAGGCGAGGCAGGTCGATTCCTTCTTGTATTCTTTGCTCTCCCGTTTTTTAGGCTAAAAGGAATGCCATTTGGCCTTACGTCAACATCTTCAATGCAAGAAATTTTGTCACTATTATTAACCTATTTTTTTTCCCTAGGATCCCTATCGGTTAGATCAAGCTGCGACTGCCAGCTTTGTCTGAATCTGTCTGAGAAAATCTTTGTCTGAGAACACCTGCGATGGTAATACCACAGACGGCTTTCGCGCATTACGTAAAATTAAGCCAATATTTGGAGCACAAATTTCTCGAAACGGTTAGATCTCCATGAATACAATCATTCGACCAGAGATCGAATTGAATACTCTGTATACGTGTTAAAGTATTTGCATCTTTACATAGAGAGCACACTTCAGAGACATCTCTGCTCAATTGATAATGACTTCACGTATTGATTGAAAAAAAAGATACTGTTGTCACTGTTATTTACACGTTTTCTTTAACATTATTTTTCAGAATGTGTTGGTCATCGCTGTAGAGCTCACCGTTGGGTCAAACCAAATTTACACGAATATTGAAAACGCATTAGCGCGAAGTTTCACCGAAAAACTCTACTAGTGCTTCTATAGCATTAAACCGCTTAGCGGACACTGGCTAAACACATTCTACAGTGGGGTCAGTCTGGAGTCAGCAAAAATAGGTTTACAGTTTGGAACGAAAATAGACTTACGGCTGAACTGAAAGCTGGTTTATCAGTATTTTTTATTCAAATGCCTTAGATTATTAATATCATGACGATTGAAATAGTGAGGTTGAAAGATGGTCTGACATTTACCTAATACGATACGTGCTATTACCCCTTAGGCCACTAATATCCAACACATACCCGAAAGGTTAAATAGGACAGTGCCCTAAGCAGCTATACTTGGTCGATCTGTTACGTTACATCTAATTCGTGGTTTGGCTAGCTTTTATTCCTGGTTAATTAGAAAGAAAGTATTTAGGAGAACGAATGTGGCGTCAGGCCTGTATATAACACCTGGCGCAACCTATTGCTTATGGCTATTATGTCGTCAAGTAAGAAAATATAATTACTCCAATTCGTCTGCTTAAGACATGATGAGAGACCCAAAAATGACTCGAGACATTAGGACAACAACGGCGTAGGCAAAAGGAACATGGGAGGAGCACGCTACCGTATGTCCATTAAAAAGTTACGCACATAGATGCACAGCTATGCATATATGTGCTTTTTCGCTCTATTACTGAGATTCTATTGTCTCTCTCACACACTGTGTCCTTATTTCTCTATAAGTCTTAGATCTTCGTCTCGTTATCAATTTCGAATGGTTTTCATTCAATGAAACTGTAATATCGCTTTTACTGCCACTCGTAAACATAAAAGAAATAGCTGCGTATGCATATGATACACGATAATTATAGAAATGTGTAATACGCACGGAACACCGGTCAATTGCTGCCAAAGCTTCAGATACCATCGCGAAATCTACGCAATATATACACAGTGTTTTTTTCAGAACAAGGGCGGCACCACTTTCCCCAGACAAGCTATATATTTCTTTATTATGATTTTTTATGGCAATCTTTAATTACGATAACTTGTTGAACTAAATGCTATGATAATCCAAGGCTATTTCGGAATCGTACTCTTGAACATTTACTTGCTTGTTTGACCTAACATTGCTTATCCTCACTGCATAAACGTTTTTCTATCACACGTCTTTATTGAACAAAGCATCAGCTTTACAAATGGCACAGAATAATATATACATGCATATATATATTTTTTTTTTCTTAATACATTTGTTTAATATTTTTTTAAGGAAGACATCCAGTCTTCAAGAATAGAGCTTAAATTTGATGAGAGGCGTTGAATTGTCTTTGCAATGGAACTTGCAAAATTTAATTTCGTGCGGTGACCTGTATTTTCCAGGTCTGTGATTTCTTGCTTGTTCCGCAGAAAGTCAATATGCTTTTGTAAAGAGTGTCTTTCAAATAGCCTTAGGCATTATTTACCGGTTAATCCCAAGAAGTTTCTCAAACTAAAATGATTAAACAAAAAAAATAATCAAAGGATGCGTTAAATATGGGAAAGTTTAAATAATGGCTGGAAGATTTGTTTTTGCCGTCGATGGTTTCCTTCCTTCCTTCCTTCCTTCCTTGTAGTGACATGGACTATAGTGGAGTGGCGTTAACAGATCACAGAAGTCATAGAAAAATGTACGAGACGATGGTGCTTTATCTGTAAACATTGGATCTATTTTGAGAGTGGTACTCGTTAAAAGTTGAACTGGCAGTCAATTTGGATATGTGCGGCGCCAACTATACTAATCGTAATAGCCAAAATATAATCATTTTAAAAAGTGGCATCGCTGATTTCTAGCTAGTCTATATACTGAAAGTAGCTTTTTTTTTTTGGCTCTGATATGGTTCTACGTATCTGGCAATAGGGGGAACCTCAAAATCCTTATTTCATTTTCGAAATTATTCTTGCAGCCACTTCCTAGAATTGTTACCAATTGAAATTCCAAAGTTTTATCATCGATTTACTAAAGACAGTCTAGTTCGCACGAATAAACACTTTAATACTTCTCACAGATAATAGTAATGAGCTTTTTCAGGGTATTACTAGTATACTATTATCTTTATAAGGGTGATAGCCCCAAAATGACTAACACCCCAGCGCCCAGTTACGCATATCTTCCCGTAACATAGCCGGTAAACGCGTTCAATTTAATGAAATTAATTTCGTATATGAAAATAACCTTTTAAGTAATTAAATAAAGCTCTGTGCACCAGTGTGTGGCGAACAGTGTTTTTTTTTTTTTTTCTTCCAGATTGACATTGGCATCCGACACTGCCTCGAGGCCGACTGTTCCAAAATATGGCCAGACTCACTGAAAAGGACACGAAGAGTCCCATAGCCAGTTGTACAAGCATTAAAGGTGTAGGTGCTCCCACCGCCCTTTGTCCGGCTGTCTAGTTAGGCAGTATAGACAACAAAAAGGTCAAACGAGCCAGACCCGTTTGCCGTGCGCAAACGATTCAAAATACAACGACTAAGTTAGTGAAGTCCGCTCAGCTGTAATCATTTCGTCTCGCTACTATTGCAGCTGAACACTTCTTGTCAATTCGTACTTCTGCCGCGTTCACTAGCCATTAGCAGTCAGTCAGTCAGTCAGTCTATATAGCTTCTCTCGCACTCGTAGTTTCGACGCGAAAGGGCTAAAACCACTGAAATAGACGAAAAGGCAAGATGAATATATAAAAAAAAAAGCGAGGGAAAACGATGAAAGCACAATCATACTTTGAGGACGCATCACCGCGAGATACGTCATTTTGTCATCAAGACAAAGCGCAATATCAAAAACAAAATAGAGGATCTAATCCGAGTAAAAATTTATCTGTGTTGCAAAACCTTGTCGCTCAAGACTCCTTTTGTCGGTAGTATCGTTCGTTCCGCGACCTTCTTGGCATTTTGTATGGTTTCAGTTGTGCTTTAAAGTTATCAAATGCATTATAATCTAGTACTTATATTGAAATGATGAAGAACTCAACAGCTGTGCGAGAGTAAAGACAGGTTTCAATTCGCGGTAATGACAGAATAACCTCTGTTTGCCCCACGATGGTCCGAACTTGTAGTGTCTAATGCCATTTCTGTAATGACGGTTTTCAGCATTTGAGAAGTTGCAGTAATGCCTTCATAGAACCTTAGGCGATGCTGAGCTGAGCCTATACCCCAACGTGCCCCATCTAGGGCATAGGTAGACTTCGATTCGTGCTGGAAGTCAGCTGTATGATGGAATGCCTAACGACTTCGCTTAGTTGCAGGACGCGTATCAAGTAGATAGTTTAGTGGCACTTATTGGTCAGATAATTTCGTACCAGGAAGCAGGCATCAATAAACTCGTCGCTCATGTTCCACTCCAAAGAAAAGGTTCCGCCAGAACAGCGGAATACAGAACTGATTTAATATTTTTTAGCTTTTGCTTCGAACTCGAATCGACTTACTGCGTTTCCTTTCACCATAGTTTCACCACGTTTCGACATACGTGTATGATGCCGATCGGCCATGTCTTCACTACTTTCTAAACCATTCCAGAAAGATGCCGGTTCGGGCCGATAGTATACTGTCGACGATTACGGAGGCGTCCTCGTCGGGACCATGTGTCAAAGATCACTACAAACTGATCGTGATGGGCGCTTCACGGGTTGGCAAATCGGCCATAATTCAACAGTTTCTCTATAATCGTTACCCTCAAAAATATGTGCCTACTGTAGAAGAGTTCCACTCTGGAGAGTTTGATTTTAATGGTAAGTATGTGCTAGTGTGTTTTCTGGTTAGACCGTCGCGTAGTTTGTCAGATGTATCGTGTTTGAACGATAGTCCGCTTTCGTTCGAAGTGGTTCGAGTACAAGGTTTTACTTGCGTCCGTCTGCAAGCATGCCTTTCCTACCTGTCTAAGAGAAATCCCTGAATGCCGCCATATCGATAGAATTATACTCTTGTTATATTGTGTCAAATTATGATAAAGTAAGTCGAAGCTGCACGAAGCTAACTTCTGTATCATAAGTGCCCAGATGGGTGCTAATGTTATTAGACCAGATGTATTATTGCCCGGCTAAAATTAGATCTACGGCGAAATGGAATTACGGCCATTTTGGTTGCCCTTATTATAACTCGAAAATAACGAACGACAACGAGGATCAACAGTATATGCGAATGATCAATGTGATTCGATTTATGCAGAGTGGAGGATTTTTTTATACGGTAAACAACTTTAGAAGCAATCTGTAGCGAAATCTGTATGCCTTTACATTGACTTGATAGTTTATGTTTTTACAAACATTTTACGAGCGGCATTGCTAGACAAAAACAAGTGCCGATCAGTTTCTCTGCTTTCCTATAATAGAATAGTTTCTGTCTGCTTTGTTATGGAACGTCTTCCCTCTATGTCCCAACTCGCAAATTAGAATCAACGAAAGGTCTTCCCATGAGAGGAAAGTTTTAGTGCCATTTCACTAATTTTTTTACGGAAATTAATGTCTTTTCCCATAACGAGGCGTTCTGAACAGGTAACCAAAAGACTAATCGTTGTGTTCCGCTTCGTTCTCGTAAAGCGCATCTGAGCATGCTCCTATGTCCTTACGCATCGTCAAGTCAGTATTTCGAGAAGAGTACAATATTTTGCATAGAAAGAATAAATGGCGGCCAACGCGTGGCTGTTCGATCTGAGCAGGGAATGGGAACACATCGGTATGACTCTCCTCAAATGCTTCCTGTTTTTTCATGCCTTCATTTATTATAACATACTGAAAGCTATTGGATGTGCCTTTCTCTATGTTGTCTATCGCCAGCGTATAAAATATACGAAAATGTAATCTCCTAAGAAACTTATACGGTTAGATTTTAATAAATGCTAAAAGTGCTAATTATAGCCATAAGCTCTAATTTGTGTTTACCATTGAAGTGTTATGGCGACATAAATCGATCTCATTTGAAATATGCACTATTTTGAGCAACAATTAGGCACAGCTCGTGTGCTTGCCAGGCCGAACAGGCTTCGATGATCATTTGTTATGTTCGGCGGCTTATATAATGCAAGCTGTGCTCGCGACGTCGAAAACGTTGCATACAATCCACTTGATGTTAGCTAGACGGAAAATCTCAACTAGAGAAAATTAAGCTTTAGGCCATTAAAGTTGTTCTTGCAGAACATGGACGATTGCATCGATTAAATAGGCAAAATATATCTCTTCTTCGACCTTGTTACATAGAGCCCGGACGAGTATGATAGCATGAAGACGAATTGTGAAACTATTGAAAGCATGCATAGCTCTTTAGCGCAATAGGTGAACATAGAGCAACTGGCGTACCTCGGTCGGATAAGCGCACATATATGTAAAGCATACAAAGAAAAAAGCTATTACCCTACCAATGGGTATAGAAGTGGTACGAGAGATATTTACATTACGAAACGGGCTGAAGCAACTATGAGAGCGCCAAAATAATAGTATCCTAATTAAGTTAACCGTTCCCTTCATACGTTATATGATGCAGCTTCACTAGTAAAACGATTTTAAAACTTCAATTAGCTACTAGTGTCGATCCGATGTGTGCCGTTAGTGTCCTTTACTCGAAACAAAATGTCTGCTAAACTTTAAATTAAGTTACCTTTTTTACGTTCGGCACATGCCCAGCGCTTACATTTACCACTCAACCGTATGTTGTATGCATCTGAACACAGTACAGAATAGACATAGGAAATCGTTTGCATAGTAATACATGCGTCGGCGCACCTGCTATACTGTTATTCTAGGAGATTCGATGCGTATCGGGGCTTTTTAATGATTTCTTGGACTTCTTAATTCACGCCACTGTATGATATGGGCCATAAAGGCAATGTTAGACAATTGCTATTTATTATCGTTTCTAGGTGCTTCGATTACTCTGGACATAATCGATACATCAGGATCGTACGAGTTCCCAGCGATGAGGCGTCTTTCGATTGAAACAGGTAGACCACAGAGGCAATTTGTGCAGCTGGAGCATTCACACGAAGTACTAGAAAATGTTTCGGGATAGGATAACACCCATATGCATACACATTAAAATAGTACCCTAAAAAAAAACAAACAATTGCTCTATCAACGTACCAATATAGAAGACAAGCGGTAGGACCTATACCCTATTGTGCTTCGATTGATAAAATAAAACCTATTCGACAAGTAAACGAAGCATATCGAAAAGATATATAGTCTTAGAAATTGTTTTCTCTTCTATATGATATTGTTAACTTTTTTTCACAATGAACAAATGGTGTATTTGACTGCAGCCAAGGATTTCGCTATGCTATAGGTGTGTGTCCCCAAGCTATTGCCCGTTGAAACAAAAACACTTTCGGACGAGGGGGTCCATTTCGTTATTAAACGGATTGGTACATGGATGAAGCGTATCACCAATCATCCCAGCAGCTATAGACAGACAACAGAATGCTGCTATGCTTGCTAGCCGGCCGGAATGAAACAATAGCTTAGAAAACATTTACTAAGTAACCAACATACGGCGAAATACAAACAAAGTTCTTGCGTTACTCACGAATGTTTTTCTCGCGAGTTTATTGCCGACGCTGCATAGAAACACACCAGTAAAACTTGTTTCGTGCTCAATACAGAACACCGAAGTTAACGGAAAACGTTTCCCGTTCAATTTCGAACGATTCTATAGAATCAAATTAAATTATTGGCGATTAATTTGTGAGCGTTGATCATCTGTTCCCCTATATGACCCTTATCATTAAAAAGACAACCGCTATTTCCCTGTTTTCGCTTCTGACATGAGAAAGCAGTTGATCGACGAGCCGAACACCCAGCGCGCCTGGCGTGCGTCTTCTACCCACTTAGATAATCTCGCCTTTTATGCCTTTCGATACGGAGAAAGCCGATCGTTTACGCTGCGTGTGAGCTTGTGCATGAACGGAACGTTCTCGAAATATGTACAGCACTGAATGGGTCATACGTTCTGCAATGTGTAACTAATTGATGATAAGTTAACTGTTACTAAGTTCTGAACGAAGAAAAAGGCTATTGAAAATGTACAACGACAATATTGCAGATGCTTCAGACATCTTTATCTATCTGAGTTACGATTGAAAAATAAGTTCAGGATGGATAGAGCTGTTCAGGATGTGCGTAAACAACGTTTCGGAAAAACAACAACATCAACGAATTTTTTAGTTGCAAAAAGGGGTACCGGAACGTTAGACTAACAGTTTTCTTAAAAACTTGTCGCGTGGGCATTAAATTCGAAAACGCTGTAAATATAACTGTTACATTGTCAAATCCTATCAATGAAAAAGATCCGGATCGAAGAGCGTATGTTTGCGGGTAGCAAAATGGGTGGGTGGATAAATTATGGAACAATAAAGTTACATTTAATCGTCATGATTGGGCTTACTAGGCAACTGTGAATCCAAACGTTACAGATGCAGCATTTTAAATGAAAAATTAATTAAACATTAAACTTCTTTAAGAATACTTACTTAGGAGAACGAAAAATTCACTTATAGACTGATGTCAAATACTTGAACCTACTTTAACAATCGGCTTTGGACGGCTCTGTTGAAGATGGCAAATTGTCTTTCTCACAGAACGAACCACTTATACATGATGTAAGAGCTTACGACAGTAACAATCTTCCACAGAGATAAATTGGACAAAAATAATTTCACGGAATACCCTTTTGGGTAGATTTTTTTTCTCGGGGAAGATCTTGAAGATGAAAACTTCGCCCAACAGTCAATAATCTATTATTATAGGCAGTGTATCTATAATAGTTTCAAACATGTGCAATAAGAGGAAAAGTTGTACATTTTGATGCAGATCATCTAGCGATCTGAGCACTATCATGCGTCCGTTCTACGTTCACAGTTCTACGGTCTACGTTCAGGCTGTACTAATGAGTAATGAATCGAGACAGGTCCCCCACGGTTAAGAGCTGCCAATCACCTTGCTGGCTGTTAGTATCGGGCTTAATTTACCCTGCAGTAGAAGGACGAAATTTTATTCATTGGGCGCGTAACGTTTTTTTTTTTTTTTTTTCTCTAGTTGGTTATAGTTGTCTACGAAATCTATCGAGAATAAACCCAGGAAACAGAAATTAGGCATACGAATGCTCAACAGACTTGTCCATGCGGGTTCAGCGAGTGCATACGAGTTTGTTCTGTACGATGCGTTCCGTAGGAAGTACGACGAAATCGTAACGGTCCAGTCTATAGCTAGAAATCTGTTTGACTGTATTTCGTAATAAGCAGCCCTAGATTAATCGGTTCGGTGACACCTATCTAATAGCATTTTGTAGCCTGTTCCTTGTCAAAAGGCTTAACAAAGCAAATTAGGACTCATTTAGTACAACATATGTTGTTTTCCGTGTAACTTAAGTGTAGTTCATAACTAAGTCGTCTTTGGAATTGTTCCCATTGACGCGATTCACTGTCATTTCAGGAGATGCATTCCTGCTTGTCTTCTCCGTGGATGACGCGGCCTCGTTCGAACAAGTCGTCCAACTCCGGGACGAAATCCTTGTGCACAACAGCCGCCAGCGTGAACGGCGGTCGATTATCGTTGTGGGAAACAAAACCGATTTACCCCCCGAGCGGTGGCGGGTCAAGCGTGAGATCGCCGAAGCTCTCGTAGCAATCGACTGGGAGTTGGGTTATATCGAATGCTCGGTAAAAGGCAATCGTGGTATAATTGAGATTTTCCGTCGTCTAATGCGGCAATGCGAGATTCCGTACGAGCTCAATGAGCGAATCGTTGACAAGCAGCGCCGCAAGTCATTACCCGTCTATAACACACAGCCGTCGATAAGGGACAAAGCATTATTGAAACGGAATTCATGCAACGTTTCGTAACCCTAATGCCGTGGCATGCTTTTTGCATCGTGTATCACCTACAGCTGCAGTATAAAAAAAAGGCCCAATATAGGAGACCTTAGATCGGTAACGCATAGCAATCTGCGAGAGAGAGCGCTAGGGAGATGCCTCGAAACGTAGAAACACAGTCTTGATAAAGATTATTATTAGATATAATAATAATAGAACGAACAAGCAAGTGGCATTTGATTATTAACCCAACCAATATGTTTACGTAATATATTAATAATTAGAACATTGATACTTGAATATCCGATAGAAACACCCGACATTTTGAGAACGCGATCAAATTAGCTGTCATTCATAGGCTTATACATCGATCTCGAGGTTCGTATTCGTCGTTTCGCCCAGTTAACCTGCGCCCCCTTGTGTAAAATTGCTTAGCTTAAGTTACGCTCAACGTTCCTATTACCTTGATATGTACGCGAACGTTTTTTAACGCGGAACCTGAGTCTGCGTCTGTTGTTCAATTTCAATTACTACCACCAATGTTATTAACCGTGATCAATGAGTCTCCACGTGCACAACTTTTATCAGTATTTATACCGAGTGGAAATATCAGTCGTAGGCTCGAAACGAGATGATCAGTGTATCTAAAGTTGGCAACTTAACTTCTCCCAAAAAGCAAGTTATTTACAACAAATGACGGTCGTCGTGCTCGTGCTCGTGCTCGTGCTTGTGCTTGTGCACGTATGAACATATACAACGTTACCTAAACAAGCCTAGCCGAGGGGTAGCTGTACAGAGCCAGAAACAATTGTCCAAAATGAAAACGGTCCGCTTCTCATTACGTTTTCATACCAGACGAGCATTATACACTGCCTATTCATGAGTGTGGTATACCAGAGTCGAAAACATTTCTAAGCCGAAACAACAAAAACAGACAGTCCGCAGTTCGTCTGCGCTTTGTCCTAGCGTAGGTAAACATGAGTATTTGTAGGACGTAAGGACATTAGTATCGATGAGATGTTATGTGCATGCGTGAACCAACGTGTTCAATAAACCAAAGCGCAGCGCATAGATATTATAGTGATTGTGAGAGTTTACGATATGCTGCGCGTTACCATTGATTACTGCTAATTGCAAACTGGCCAAACGTTACACCTCAACTAACAAATAATGTTCTTCCAAAAACAAACAAAAAAAAAAAATGGAAAATGCCAGACCGCTATGATGGTTCATCTGGTGTGCACTAATAATGATGTTGTGACCTTCGGCATAATTTTGTGCATTCACTTACTACGAAGACGCTATCAATTGCAAAGAAAAAACGCGAACTTGAAAAGAGGAAAATATAGAGCTAACACACCATTCACTGAAGCTCCGTATAATTAGCCCGAACGATTGGTGCTTGTACTGTACAAAGCATGTTTTAATAAAGAAATTGTTATTTAAAAAAAGTATTCTTTTTTCGGCACACGTTCTCAATATTGTAATGAGTAAATTTATCGCCCCTAATACCCTAAATGTTGAGACTGTGACACGATATTCTGCCATACCTTCCTATAAACGTTAAGACTTCGATCGATGGCAAAGTGACTCGAGGGTTTAGTGTTCATCCTAACTTGCGATAGGTACAACAACTACTGGTACGTATTGCCCCACATTGACACATAGGTAAATTGAACCTAATTGTGACTGACATGCAGCTTCACTTCGTTATTTTTCGATTTGTTTTTGCATCTTCCCACTACTATAATATCACAAAACTAAAATGTGACTTGGCAAACAAAAAACAAAAAAAAATCTAACTGTATGGCAATAACGAAAGAGAACGGCGGAATAGCCCACGGGAGATGGCGTGAACGCCTTTGGCCTTTGGCCTTTCGTGCTAGGTAAAAGCGGAACTGAACAAACAGATACTGAATGTATTGAGCTTTTAGAAAGGAGAACTATAAAAAAAAAAAGCCTAGATGGGCAGTCGTCGGCGCTGCACTAGGGAAGATTTGTCCTTAGGCCCCCCGCCCTCAGCCGCTAACGCTAATACAGTTCTCTCTATTAGTAGTAACTAAACTTTTATTGCTATAAGTAATTAATTTAAAAGCTACGCTCCGTTATAGCGTTGCATCGAATCGTCAAAAGTTAGAGATAACGTATCGGCTACCAACAGTGCACGCAATACTGAACACAGCATTGTGATTAATGAGTACAAAAGTCCAATTTCAGAATGTGATATATATATATAGGCACACAAATTTTAGCCCCTATTGGGCCTGGAAATAGGCGACCATCGACCTATATTTTGACTTACTTTCGTAAATAAATAAAGCTAAAAATTAGAAAAATAGAGGGATTTGGCGTAATTTATGTCCGTCCACTTACTGCCCATACGACAAACGTCGTAAGCACACAACGCTTCATGAGGTGAAATGATTTTCTATACAAGTCCCGTTAATTAATTACATTTCGATAATCACAATTGGCACATACAGTGGCTAACGCCGTTGACGCTTTCATGCTACGCGCGGCTCGTTTGCTTTTAACATTGTTGTTTGTTCGAAATCATTTATCACCGTTTACGACAACAAAAAGTTGAAACTCGTTAGCTTCAATCTTATCGGATGCAGAAGTCATGCCCAATCGCTGCGCCATCAAACAGGGCTGGCTTGCAAATGCCGCACTGTCCTGTTTGGCAGGGTCCGAAGAAATTACAGGGCTGGAAACTATCATTATTGGACTCAGCAGCTGAAACGCTACTGATTGGAGGATCCTGCATAAACGTTCCTTTGTAAAGCAATAACACCGGACAAGAAGTCAGTCCTCATTAAGTGCGGCTGATATAGCACGCTCATCGTCCTTGCTAGGAAACTGCTAGGGTATATACATACTTGTATACAGGGTGGCCGACTTAAATTCGGACAATTTTCGGTAGACCGCGCTATATAAGATCTTGCTCTAAGATCGACGTAAACAGTCTCGGCGAGAAACAGCATTTTAGCGTTGGAGATTGTACGAAAAGCAACTGTAACCTAATATTATCAAGCGCCGTGGACCAGAGCCAAGATGAGAAAGTTCATTGCTTACATTAAATCGATATTGTACGGCAGCGCAGAGAAAGCAAAACCAGGTCCAGCACATGTCAATGGAAAATCTACGACAGAAAAAACTGATGCGAACAGGCACGTTGATCGATCTCGTCCAAGCGTGCGTTAGGCTAAGAATCTTTCTCGTTAGTCAAGAGGTTTCGTGCAAGTATAGCTATCTGTTACTGGTTGGTCATCAAGTCGTCATAGATTAAAGAGGTCAAACGGATACTTTGCAGACCTAATAAAACCTTGCAATTCACTCGATCTCTTTCGCTGCCCAATTCTCGAAGTAGTAGGTCGTCTTCGATTAGTAGATTGTCTTCGATTTTTTCTTCACGAGTAACGTTTTAGTCTCGATGGAAAGGTCAGCCACAGGTTGCAGGCTCGATCGCTGACTTATTGTGCGTGACGCCATATTTCCTACCAGAGCGTGATATTTAGCGAAGAAGGAGACGCTGTTGACAGCATATTTTATGCAGAATTCATCAGAGGTTCATTTTCTGCGCCAGCAACCATACTAACTAAACTAAACCGAAAATCGTCTCCTAACTCAAGCCTGCCGAGGATTAAACATGTACTGGGCTGAGCTCATATGGCCGCTATGCTGTATTCCCCAGCGAGTTGCGGCGTCATTTGCTCACTCGTACAGGGGTGTTTTCAAAGGGAACATTTAAAGCGAGCCTATGAGTCGTTGAAGGCCAAGACCGAATCTGGTATCGCCGTGAGTTACATTGAATAGACATAGAACTCTTAGAAATCTTTTAGGTACAATTTTAAAAACAATTCATAACAGGAGATTCCGATTTAAACTAATCACGCTTCACGCTGTGTACGTATATATAGCTTTATATTTTGGTCAGCAGGTTCTGGCGGCCAATATCGTTCATGTGAAACAAGTCCGATTTCACATAATAATCTCACATTAGTGCTTTTTCAAGCTTGAAGTTCATCTAGAAAATTTTCAAAAAATTTCAACGTAACTAGAGTATGTTGCTAGGATAAATTTTTTTTTAACTTACTTTACAAGCACGGAGCATAGCATCTGTTACAGTGCGAACCTGAAAAAACACGAAACAAAAACATTTAAAGGTGCGTGTATGCTTCACCAGGACGTCCATCTCAATGGAAAACCAGTAAGAGAACATTATATAATATTGTAAGAGGTTAGTTAGTCATTTCTCAAAGTGAGAGAAATAGTCCTTGTTCAAGATAAAGTCGAGTAATACATTGGCCTATACGTTAGGTCGTCCAGTACGTGATGTTAGATAGTTAACTTTAGCTTTTCGGATATCTAAAGCCCCGAGTGACAATATCCAAGTGAGCGGCCTCATATTTGAAAGACGAGTACAAGTGAATTTCGTAAACGAAAAAACAGGATATAGGATCATTACGAAATTGCGCCACCTTGAAATAGGAGATTAACGTTTCTTACCTTTCCTACTATAACGACTTAATATCAATTGCAATAAGGAGTGCTATTATATTAGTAAATAGACTGTAACGTTCGATAGTGCTCGGAAGGGAGCTGCGTAGACACCCATAGGAATCGAGAAGGGGGCAACTATGGTGGTAAGTTCACGTGGCGTAAGTGGTTTTTCTGATTATAAGTATGTTGCGCAACGAAAGATCCTTGAGCACGGTGTGAGGGCGAACATAGAATACACTCTGTATTTTTCACTATGTCTTGCGTACGTCTTATTCTACTCGACAGTTTGCTAAGAAATATGCACGTTCAGGTCGTGCGCCTTGATTCCAGATGAAGTTGGGAAAAGGACTTCTATAGGATTTGCCTGCCTGCCTGCCTGGTTGCAGTCAGACAGAAAGACAAACAATTTTGAGTGTACAAAAATGCCGCTTGATAAATGCACATTATCCTCTGGTTAGCTGTGCATTTATCGGCGACGCTAAAGAAGCACCGCCCTATCCGGCCTAACTTGGTGCGCGCATCTCAAAAGGGTCGGTAACTTCACTACAAAGGTATACACAGTTGTCAATGGTAATCGAGCGTTCAGTTGTATCGTTTCACGGATTTGCGCTAACCGAGACGCGTCTTAGCTAACAAGCATTTCCTTAGCAAATCATCAAATGGCATTCGTTCTGTAATTATTTCATGAATATAAAGCTGGTCTAGAGCTTCGCTGTGTGCGAAACAGCGCAAACTTTCGGTGCGCGACGCGGCCTGTATAAACGTTAAGCCTTCACGTTGCAGCGGTGTGTTGTCGTCTGGCTCTACGGAGCTAAATGAACTGCACGTGTTGACGCCTCGACCGATACGCCTTCTCTCGTGTACAGCAGTATAAACATGCATCAGCATCAACGTGAGCCGTTAGTCGAACCAGCTGGCGTCAGCCACAGCTAAACATGATCTTGAAACGGGTACAAAAGCAACAGATGACGTGAAGCGCGTGTGTTCGCCCACGTAACGTTGGTTGTCAACGTGCAGGTCACTAAATAGTCGCTTGGTCAAGTGACCGGGCTGTTGTGTCTTTTAACGCTCTTGTTGCATACAGGGGCCCTGCTGTGAGGTGAGATTGTTTCTCTCGAGAGACAAAATCATTTAGATCTGTTTTTGTCACCCCGCATCCCCTTCGCTATGCTCTTTTCGCAATGTTGTTCACCATAGCGCTCGCTTATCGCTATGCAGCCAGGCAGGCAGACAGACTAATGCAGCCTGGGAAAGCATGCTTCATGTGTATTTAGGTATTCTGACTGAAAAAGGCCGATTTAGCATTTGGAAACTTCCTGGGTCAGAACAATGTAAGTAGTCAACTTGTCGTGATCAGAACTGCTCGGTAAAGATGGATCAGCTGGCCGATGAGTGTACACCAATGCTTATAACTCTCATGGCTCATAGTTTGAGCGCTGATTGGATTGCGCTCTCAAGATTGACCTCGAAAATCAACTCGCCTCTGCCCTTCATCTAGCCTAAGCGTGGTCAGCTGGCTCTTTTAAAACATGCGTTTTTTCTTTGTCAGTTTACTGCAGTCAACTGCTACAGTGTCCCATCTACTATAGTTAAAACCGGTAACACCGGATATATATCAGGTCTGAAGGTCCACGCGCGGAAAAACCAAACATCTTCTAATCAATGTATTATATGTTAAAGCGATTATATGTCGATCTTATTTCTATACTCATTTTATTTATATTTGTAACTTTATTGCGGTTGATTTCAAAATAAGCAGACAGACAAGCGGCACGTCCACTGACGGCATTCGCAGAACCGGTGGTGCTTTCCGATCGGGTCATGCGTCCCAAGTGGGTCATTCATTAGATTCAAAAGGGGAAAGTCCGCGTTGTCGAGCGCTGTTCTGTGCCTTGAACACTGTCGTTTCTGTACGTATGTAGTTAGATGCTTGCAATAGTTTTAGAAATTCATCGCCCCCCCGATCTCGTTTGTGAAAGCATGGCACCGTTCGTTCTTTTGACTAGAACGATAGTTCTGCAGAGGTGATGCGCTACTGGATAACAGCCAGCACACTTGTAGAGCCTGTATCGGCACAGCCAATTGAGGAATAAGTGACACGAAAGATTCACTTGACCAGCGACCGACCCACCGACCCATTTGGCTTCCTTATTAAGTAGTAAACGCATTCCGTTACTGTTGCAAAATAAACATTCTAGTAATTAGCTCTGTTAGTCAGCAATTCTTCCCCTTTTATATGTCTACAATACTTCTAGTTAATTGTTTGTTTAGCAGTTAATACGCCTGTAATTACACTCATCAGAAAAAACAGATTACCGAACTAATCACAAGGAACACCAACCAATTAAATCCTCGTGTTTCTATTTTTTTTTTTACGCATATGTTAACCCATAACAGGTTCACTCTACGTAGGAAATATGTAGTTCGGTAGATGATGGTCGTTAAAAAAAAAGACTCGGCCTACTTATAATATTGACGAATTGTTTACGCTTCCCATCGAATAATATGAATGCATTATAGACATAGAAATGGGAATGCATCGTTGTTTTATGTCCCTGTAAAATTATCAGGCTCTCAGATTAGTACCGTTGAGCAGTCCCCTTACCCCGCGCGGTAATCGTACATAGGACGCTCTTTTTTACTTCCACGGGCCAGGCGCCTAACGGGAGGCAATCGCTATGATTAATATTAACTATTTTTCAGCGGTCGTTGAGACGCAAAATGAGGCAGGGCTTTGCTAGGGCAGATCTTTGGATAGCCGATAGTTCCTCTTTTATTCTGGCTGCCTAGCTCTGTCGAGGCATACGTGTCCTTTCCAGTATCAGAACAAACATCTGATACCCAACGGACAACATAATGACCTAGAGTTTTAGTCCGGTCGCTTTGTTAAAGGTTCTGTGCCTATAGCTGTTGATATATCTGTAGAGTGCTCAAGAGTCCACTATAATAGTGGCAAGCTGTCGTTTAGACATTACGTCTGGCGATAGCCATAGTTGCGTTACAAATCTTACTCATTTGACTTGTAGGAGTATTTTCTAGATAAAAGAAAAAGTAAACGAAATACCCGTAATATGACAATTCCCTATTTAGAGTAAATGTACACGTAAAACTGTCATCATTTGAAAGATGTCCAGATGTACAACCAACCAAGCGTATTTGTCTGCACCTCACCAATTCATAACGGAAAACTTTGAATAGTCCAGCGCTAAACATATATTTGGTCTCTAGCGATCTATAATCACGTGTTAATACCACTGTTCTTATTCTTCCTAAGACAATATTACAAGCACAGGGCCCAGATTCACAATGCACACATACGACTTTGCACTGATCCATTTTTAACTGAAGGTTGGCCTATTAAGGCATAAAATAAACCTTTCCAAGCTAACGTTTTTCAATGCAACATGGAAGACTGATCGATACCCGTGAAGAGCGAATTTTGACTCAGCTAATTCGATAGTATCTCTATTTATTGCTAGTACTCTATCGCGCCCATTACGACAATCAACAAATGTTTTTAAGTTATTTGAATTATTGCGTACTTCTCACTCTACGGGGTTATGATACCTGGATTGCTGAAAGCGTGCTTACTTGTCAATCCTTTCATCAAATCAGATCTGCTGGACAGTCAGCGGTGGGTAGGCCGATTCAGTCATTTCCATCCGGTTAGCCGGAAGTTTTTGCACATATCGCCGGACATGGCCTTGCATTGTGAATCCTCGCTGCTGCTATTTCCGGTGTAGAAACTCCTTCTTGCCCGTGCGCCTCTTCCTAACGCAGTCGTGAAGAGAGATCGCGTGGCTGACGCTTCGTCGTCGAGCTCCACTCTCCTAACACAGGTTCGAATTGTCACGCAAATTTTTTGCCGTGCGGAACACCAACATATCGCGCAAGGCCCTCCTGTACATCTGTAGCTGAACACCCTGTTTTTGCAGTCCAGCTTGTTTTCGCCAAGTTTTCGCACCATCTACCACGCGCCGATTCACGCATCAACACGACTTAGAGAGACAAAGGGGTTATCACGTCCGTTTAGCAACGACTGCCCCTATACCAGCGTGAATTCATTCGCCCCGCTTACTTTTGAACAGGTCGAGTTGTTAGGTTTACGTTATAGTTTGTGGACCTACTAGTTGAGATCGTCAAATACTAAGTTTCGCCCCGCGCCGCTTGTACAAAATGTGCAGTTCCATATACATAGATGAAACATGAAGAATTTTTGCTTGTGTGACGTGTTTTTTATTAGATATATCACGACTTTAACATATAAGCACACGTATTTGATTTTGTTTTCGCAAGCAGGATAGCATAGGGCATGTTCGAGTTAAGGCTATTACGTTTGCACATATCTAGTCAGGTTGTTCTAACACCGCCGCCTATATGTGTCCTAATGGACTCAAGGATGAGACTCTGCGAACTACATTTTTTTTCGCTGAGGGCGGCTTTGATATAACGAATAAAAAATATAGTAAATAAATTTACACCCTTGAAAAAGTACTTTCACCGTCGAACATGGTTAGATGTGAGCTTGTCAAGTACGAATTAGTGTGAAGCCACTCGTACGAAACGTATTATACAGAAATAAATATTATATAGGCCAAAATCAGAGGCATTTAGGCCTTTAGTGGTTTACACAGACGGACTGACTAACTGTAAATAGCAGGGGAGTGAAAAACACAGGGTGCTTAGATAAAGCGAATGAATGAGGCACCACGTGATGACTGCGGATAAGGATTTAATAAATTTTCGGATGGGCTAAATATGCAGGGAAGTACCAAATGGTTCACGTGAGGTTCGAATGCATTGCATTATGTATAATATAGAATAAATCATAACCGCCAAAGTGATAGTGTGGACTTCCCTAGGATTGAGCGTTAATCCTCTTGACCTTTTCTAACCAGCCGCTCCCCGCCAACTTTAGCGTATGGCATTGATTTTATAGGAAGCATTCGCTATCGTTCCTACATTACCTAAATAATAACATTTCTCACTATCTAGTATAAAGAGACCTGGTACTTTGGTAATTATATAAGGCAGCCCAAACCGGTAGATATTGCCTTCGGTCGTTAGAAATATCCTCTAATAAAATAAGGTTTCTTGCTTCTAAAGCACATTGCACATAGTAGGCCCAGCTTTAGACCCTATACGAGAACCACACGCATTTGCTCGATCCATGTAGAAACAAAGAAAATAATTTGAGCTATTGGATAAATGCATTGGAAACTCTGTATCGACATCCAAAGCCGAGTGTTTAGAATAACAAGGCGGAAAATTTCCTCGTGTTCTTCAAGATGTAGCTGTCACTGATCACTCTTAAATGCTAACCGCGGTGGACGCTTCAACATAGAAAAATCAAACTTTAACTGAAGAAGCACGAATTTTACGCATAAAAAATACATAAATTGTATGATATTCCGTTACAAATGCCCCTAACTACCAGGATCATTACAATAAGCAAAACAGAACATAAAGTCATATTTACAATAGCAATATGTAACAATCACTTATAAGACAATTCACTTGATTCATATCGGTATTGAAGTACGATTTGGTAGCATTAGCGAATGTGTACCTCTTATTAAATATCTGCGTCTTACCAACCTAATCACCAGTCATTGAGTTACCAAGCTGATCTAGAAATGATTTCAACATGCTTTCATGGCTGCCAGTGTAAATCGCAGGTTGTTCTATCACTGGCAACCAGCTGCATATGCGCATAGACGAATTTTTCATAGGGAACGACGCAAGTTTCATACCTTATAG